GAGTTTCAGGGTCCTGTTCCAGAAAGCTGGTTTAACCCTAACTGACCATCAGTTGTATCAGCTCTGAGTATGTTAACCTCATATTACATGCATGATGAATAACTAAAGCCATCATCAATTGATCTGCAATCCAATGATTCACCATGGCGACAGGTAAAGCAAAAGAAGTAGTGAGAGAATCAGTTATTTTCTCTGTGGTAAAGTGCAAAACACTTGACAGCAATTGACCTTTTCACAAAAGACATTTTTACATCACAGAAGGAGAAACACAGGTGTAAACAATAAAATACATGAGGGCTGAATTCCATTTAGCTGCTGCAGTTTCAGGGTCCTGATATTGTTCATGCTGACTCACTGTCATGACTTACTGTTAGACTTGAATATAACAGAGCCATTGTTAATGTTATTATGAACACTTGTGCTTTTCCTGCCATCAAACAGATAAGACATATTTCAGTCACTGTAAGCTGAAACAATAATAATGAATTTAGGGTTGCAGTTGAAAAGGCCCCTCAAAAACTGAGAAAGTTTTATCTGTTTCATGTATTGATCTTGATTAAACAGCATCCTATTTCATCCATATGTAAGCATGTAGTAGATTTTGAAATGCTGTTACAAAGGCAGTCAACTGGGATATCCTGTCACTGGCTGACTCAGTCTGCAGAAAGATATCTTGTTGCTATTTGTGCTCTTGTTTTCATTTCCTGCAAATCCATTTTCAGAGCAGCGAACTGCAGTGATGTGACAACAGAACTCTATCAGCAACAACCAAAACCCTTAACAAGTGATCAATTTTATTTACACAGATGTAGATACTTCACTTTTTAAGGATAGATGCACATTTTATCAATTCTTACAAAATAATACTCACATTTCTGTATGTGCATTGAAAGTCTTACTGTTCACTGTTATTGTGACTAATACTAGCTGCGAAGAGATCATTTCCTAAAGGATGTGAGAATACATTTAGAAATTCAGCTGAAGCTATATGAGGTTCTGGGCTGGACAATTGTTTTTTACTCCGAGCCAGACAACCAACGACCACTCCTGGGTTTAGCTGTTCTTTAGCTCAAATTAATTCATTAGAATCTACTTTTCAAACATGATATTTTAGGCTGTTCAAGTGTTCTTTTAGATTTAAATTTAAAAACCACTTCCAGCTAAAAACTTTTAATTAATGTGTTTGTATAGCCCCTCCTGTGGGCACTCAAAAGTAGAGGCTGCTAAACCGATGATGAGTGACTGTATATTAAAACACAGTTACAATTATATAAAATATATCTTTAAATAAGATATTATAATTGCTGACAGATACTGTCCTCATAGCAGCCTATAACTACATTATAGTGTGTTAAAAGAATGTATTAAATGTTTGTATACTGCTTCCAAGTGGTAAATATTGAGCTCAAAGTAAAGTTGCAATGTTGCATTGATAGAGAGCTAATTCAGATGACAGTCTGTCAAGTGTCATGTTGTGAACTTTTGTCTTTGATCTACAGGTCATGAGGTCTTGTCTAAAGTGAAGGGATGCCCAGTAGGATGGATTAAATTCACCTGCAAATATCCAAAACCAAATGTAAAATATGAAAGTATTGATTTAGTTAATCCCAAAGAAACCATACGAAGTGCTCTAAAGAATGTGTGGGAAAACAACGGCAGAGTTTTCCTGTACCATGATCCAAAAAAAAAACATCTCAGGGTGGCCATTAATAAAACTGAACGTGAGAACTTTGGGAAGTACACCTGTAAATTTAACCAACTACCTGACTCATGTGACACAGTGGAATTGGACTTGGACGTTGGTAAGAGGCACTCACTTTTTATTAAAATGAATGTTACAGATGTTGGTTATAAATTTCCAGACTATTTTGACTCTAATTTCACATTCACTAGAGTCAATTTCTATTTCAAGTCATCATCTACTCAGATAAACAAAATGGAGATCAATTTGCAATAAAAGCAGATTTAACATGATTCACACTTTACTGTATGAGTGTGGTGATTTGCATTTCCATCATGTGTTAGCACATTATCACAGTTTCACATTTTACCTTTCTTGTTTATTTGCAGAGACAGACGGCTGCCAGGGACATTTTATTCAAACTGCGTACAGAACAGCTAAAACCACCATCACATGTGATTACACAGGAAACAAATACAAGTTCTTCTGCAAACAGAAAGGTTCAATCTGTGAGGATATTTTATCAACAAAATCCTCTCTGAAGTCAAACGGGACATTCACTCTCACAGAAACCAACAGTAGCTTCAGCGTGTCCATCAGTAACGTGTCCTCACATGATGCTGGTGTCTACTGGTGTGGAGTGGAAACACATGAAGGAAGTTACAGAGCTGCTCTCAGAAAGATAAAGCTGGAAGTTAAAGGTGAGCAGCAAACATCTGACACTTTGAGCTTTGATTTACTCACACAGATAATTTTGGTGTCACTGAAAAATGTTGTTAAATACAGTCACTGATACACACCGATGTCTGTCTGTGTCTCTACAGCTTCTATTACTAACTTTACAAAGTCTCCAACTGTTGGACAGAATCTTACATACTGGTGTCGATATCCAAATTATACTCTGATAAACAAATTCATCTGTAAGGGAGAAGATCCATCTATATGTGAGCCTTTATTAAGCACACAGCGCAACAAGACCACTGGGAAGTTTTCTATGAAGGAGGACAAAAACAAGAGAAATATCACCATAACAGTGAGAGACGTAACAACAGACGACACTGGGACATACTGGTGTGGAGCAGAAACCACTGACAAAACATTCAGCAACAAATTCTTCCACAAACTGGTGATGACTGTCGGTGAGTGATGTTGTTTTATTGTGTGGATGTAGTTGACTATCAGTTGTATCAGCTCTGACTATATTAACCTCCAAGTGCATGCAAGACATAAATAAAGCCATCATCAATGGATCGCCAATACTACGATTCACCCTGGCGACGGGTAAAGCAGAAGAAGCAGTGACAGAATCTGAGTTGGCGTGAATAAAGATAAATAAGGTACAGTTTTATAATGAACCACAGTTAGTTTCTCTGTGGTAAAGTGCAAAACACAGTATCAGACCTTTGTCACAGAAGACATTTTTACATCACATTAGGAAAACACAGGTGTAAATAATAAATGAATGAGGGCTGAATTCCATTTCGCTGCTGCAGTTTCAAGGTCCTGATATTGTTCATGCTGACTCACTGTCATGACTTACTGTTAGACTTGAATATAACAGATCCATTGTTAATGTTATTATTAACACTTGTGCTTTTCCTGCCATCAAACAGATAAGACATATTTCAGTCACTGTCAGCTGAAACAATAATAATGACTTTAGGGTTGCAGTTGAAAAGGCCCCTCAAAAAACTGAGATAGTTTTATCTGTTTCATGTATTGATCTTGATTAAACAGACACATTGCATGTGATATACAATTTCAGTCACTGTCAGCTGAAACAGTAAAAAAAACGTTTTGGTTTCAGTTAAAAAGACACAACTGAGTTAATATTTTTTCTTTCGAATCTATTTTCTATTTTTACCTAGCAATCCTGGCAAGAGCATCCTATTACTCAATTATGGCAAAAAATCATAATCACTTATTGACTAATAATATTGAGATTGTGATTAATTAACACGATTAGTCAATGATTTGGGGAGTTTGCATGCTCTCCCCGTGTCCGCGTGGGTTCTGTCCAGGTGCTCCGGCTTCCTCCCACCATCCAAAGACATGCAGGCTGGGTTAATTGGTGTCTCTGAAATTGTCCTTAGGTGTGGATGTGATTGGTTGTCTGTCTATGTGTGGCCCTGAGATGGACTGGTGACCTGTCCAGGGTGTACCCCGCGTTTCGCCCGATGTAAGCTGGGATTGGCTCCAGCTCCCCGCGACCCTGTTTGCAGGATAAGCGGTTGACGATGGATGGATGACCTTTTTGAAAAAAAAGGATCTTCTTGAACTTTGAATTTTCTCTAACTCATTCAGTATAAAACGTGCTTTGTGACCAGATCTGTCTGATCTGGGCATGTTACCACACAGTTGTTTACTGTCATATGCTTAAGGCTCTTTTCTAACTTATTTGCACCAGTCTTTGGGACTGTCACAGTGTGTAACAACCGTCAAACAGCTGAATTGGTTTTTCCTTACTTGCTCTTCATCTTGGCCCGAGCTGAACATATAGGTCACATAACACACTGGTCAAAGCGAGAGCATCATTGCGAAAAAGAATGTCTCACAAAAATTATTTTACCTAGATTATTTTGTTTTCATAACTTGTGGAAGCCAAAATCATAATTAAAAATTGTAGAAGAAATCAGTACCTTTATAGTGTATGTGAAGAAGCAATTAAGCTGAAACTCATTAACGCCTTATAATTTGCTTTGTTAAAAAAACATTTGACTTTTTTTTCAAATGGCTGTGAAATCCTGATGCTGCTTAATGCTTGTTTTAAGTTCCTGCACTTCTTCAGTGCAGCGTTCTGCAGTGATGTGACAGCAGAACTTCATCAGCTACAACTAAAACCCAAGTGATCAATTCATAAACAGATTTAGTGTTGAGTGTTTCACTATGCATGTTTTATACTGTTTAAGGATAATTAACATTATGATCTCTAAGGGTTATTCTGTCTGTTCTCTTGCCAAATTTAAATGGGTTTCTTTTTCAGTATCACCAGCAGTATCACTAGCAGTATCACCAGCAGTATCACCAGCAGTATCACCAGCAGTATCACCAGCAGTATCACCAGCAGTATCACCAGCAGTATCACCAGCAGTATCCACATCCCTTGTTTTTTCAACCCAGTCAACTACTGCATCTGCAGAGAGTCCTGGTAAGAGAGCACGTTTGACTTCTTAAATCTTCTGCTAGAGAAGAGCGGGGGGGGGGTTAAAATGAAATTTCTATAAACGTCCACTTACATTTTCTCAACACAGACAGCTGTGGATGATAATGACCCATGTTGAAAAAAATAATTGTGGTTTATTTTGCAGGTGGCCCTGACGTCGTCATCACTGTGATCGTTTGTGTAGCTGTGCTGCTGCTGCTGTTTGTGCTGATTTTGATCCTAATCTACGCATGTAAGAGTTATTACCAGTTTGCAGAAGAAACACTCACATATTGTAAACAGAAAACCACATTAACAACAGCTCCACCCTGTGTGGAGGTGAGGACTAACAAGGCCAAAGAAGACACTCTATATCGTTTGTAGTGACTATACATGACTTCTTTTTCATGTCTTGAAGTTAATGGACACATTGTTTTTATACAAAGAAAGGAAAAACTTCACTTATTTGCCAGACTTACAAGAGGAAACAAATAATTATAAATTTGTTGTAAAACAGAATTTCACAAAGTATAAACTTTACATTTTCCCCAACTCACCAGCATGAGTCTGGTGCGAATTAGCCTCCACCTGAAATTACTCATGCGCAGTTTAGGAGAGATCCAATCTCAATGAGGATAACAAGAAAACAAGAAAAAATACCAGGTGTAAACACAAAGGCAAGATCCGATGGTTAAAGTAACATTATATAAAATTTGTTTTTTGCGAGATTTGGTGTCAGTACTGTTGTGGAAATTTACATCACAGTAGGAATAACATAAGGAATATAGGAGAGGAAAGGTTAAGGATAAACACATATATATCTATAAGACATAGCAATAATATTAATAATAATAATATAAGAAGATCATACATAAAAAATGAAATGTAAGAGGACACAAATTTCTGACATAACAAGTGTTACATACAATAGCCGCGTTTGATCTAATTGTCAATTGATGTTACACATGACCGTAATAAACAAGGTGTATGGGTTGCAAACCAGAAATAAAACCAGTCGCATGGACCCGAGGACCATGAATCTGAGATAAATGGATAGCGGTCCTCAGGAATATGTTTTAAGTTGCTACCAGCCATGTTTCAGTGCGTTATGGGAATAATAATGTCGCTTTAAGGCTTAAAGTTAAAGGCTTAAAGAGGTAGTGTCTCAATTTGATAAAAATTGGTGAAATTAATCCATTTATGTCCTTCTACTTTTTTACTCAGCTATTGTTATCTTACTTTTGCTTCTGCCAGGATTTTCACCTTTAAAGAACACAAGAAATGGAGCAGCAGCACAGCACAAAAAGGTCAGTGTATAAATACAACTGTCCTCTACAGAAAAAAATGAGTTTAAGCCACACAGAATTACGACTCATGTTTACGTGTATTGATGTAAGCAACCTCTAGTGGCAGTACAATGCAAACACATTAAGCATCGACTGGTGTTTTTTTTGTTTTGGGCTGACCGATGACTGATATGTGGAACCGTTATATATTTGCTGTAAAATTTTTAATCTTGGTGTCAAAATTTTGAATAACACAAACTCCAACACAAAACTTTGTTGAAAATAACAAGATTAAAGTTAATTGTCATGTTTAATCTTTAAAATAATAAATTAAATGAATTAGAGATCCATCCCAGAGATGGACTACTATAACTGAAAAATTATCATAAACTGTTCCTTTACCACCTGCTATTTATATTATAATATGTGTGTGATGTGCTGCAAGTAGGCAAGTTAATTTTACTAAATGTAAAAATGTCACCACAAAGTGTAGGATAGGCTCTGCATGAAGACATTTACATTTATTAATTTAGCTGACGCTTTTATAACAATTGCCTTACAATTGCTCTATATGTCAGAGGTCGCACGCCTCTGGAGCAACTAGGGGTTAAGAGTCTTGCTCAGGGACACAATGGTGTTTCACAGTGGATCTGAACCCAGGTCTCTCACACAAAAGGAATGCATCTTATCCACTGCCCCATCACCACCCCAAGGTTAAAGAGCTGAGGTGGTGGTGTTTGTCCCAACCCCCCCAGCACTGTGATAGAACGGCTGGGTAAGAAGTGACATTGACCAGCGCTGCGTTGAGCTCCAAGCTGAACATTTTTTCACTCTCTGTGACCGGAAAAAAACACTCAGCGCCCAGCGCTTGCCTCTCAACAAGCGGCTGAGTTTGCAAGGAGCTAGTAAATTTTAAGATACGTATCATCTCAGCTAAACAGGCTACAACCAGAGAGATTTAGCTAGTTTATAACTAGCTATTAGCCTAGCTAACTACCTACATGTGCTTATGTAAAACCAAAACACAGCTGCGGTGGATGAAACAGAGCAGATTAAATATCGCTTAGTGCATGTCCCTGCTTTTTGTGCTGATGCAGTATCAGCATTTTACTAGTATTGCTGTTTTTGCTGCACTTACTTACAGTAACGGGCGTCGTTATGGTCAACTTGTGTAACCTACAATGATCTCCGCTGACTTTGCTCCACGTGTGTGTATTTGCGGAGCTCTGCTGACATGGGAGAGGAGGGGCCACAGTGTGGTGGCTCGCTTGTTCTATTGGCTACTTCCGCACAATAGTCAGTGTTGATAGGCTATTACTCGTGACTTGTAACCAATCAGCTAGTACTGTGGGCGGGACATTGCTCCACCACACAGAGGGGTGAGTACAGACTGAAAGAAGCGGCTGCATCAGAGCCAAAGGAGCACATTTTTTAATTAATTGATTATATCGACAATCTGTTTTTGAAATGACCGATGCAGATTATTGGAAAACTGCTGAATATTGCCGCCGATAATCGGCCAGACCAGACGGTCCCTTATTATATAAAGCCATAAAGTTGCACTCCTGTGGTGGTGGGTTTGTTGGAGGAAAGCAATTTAGCCGCCTTTCACCTGAGTTCCAATGTGAAACAAGATGTTTGTTTTTTTTTAATAAAGTTAATTAGCATTAACTAACTTCATAGTTTCAGGGTTAGCTAGTTAGCTAACCATATTAGGCTGCGTTCGAAAAGTCAAGAATAATCTTCTTTCCTAACCACCTTTCTTTGACCTCGATGGAAAACGTCATGAGGTCAAAGAAAGATGTGTCCGCCATCTAAAGGCATCACATAGCAAAAAGGCAGATAGGGTAACAGTTACCAAATAATGGACAGGGTGTTTCCCACAGAATGACAGCGTAAGGTGAGAGAGAGAGAGAGAGAGAGAGAGAGAGAGAGAGAGAGCGACCGTGCAGAAGGGGTGCTGAGCGAATAGCCTAGTATATGCTCTGCCCGCAGCTCTGTGATCAAAATCGATTTTACCCATAACCTACTAAAAAACAACAATAATCGAAATACTTCCAGGTCACTTGACTCAGTTAGGAACCTTCCTAAGCAAAAAAGACGCAGTTTGGACGCAGCCCTAGTCTTAAAGGCGTTGACAGAACCCCGTAGATCCCAAACCTCATCCTAACCTTCACAGTCAGTGATTGTATGTATGTTGCCTCCTTTGTGTCACTCCACGTGTTTATGTCATGTGACTTAGATCACGTGATTTCCAAAACGCTCATTTGAGTCATATTTGGATATTGGTAAAAACGATGTTGTCTTTTAGGTTTGAGGACTTGTTGGTATATATGAATGTTTGTGTGTGTTGTGGTACTGTATAGGTTGAATAGATATTGCTGGAATAATTGTGCAATAGCTGGATTACTCAAGTATGAGTGTTAAAAGAATAAGAAAGAACTTCTGGGACTCTCATTTCATAGAAAAAACAATATAAATTAATATTGACCAACAAGGATGCAGAGTTTTCACTGTTTCAGTGACTGAATCTCCCTTTTTGCTACGTGTGGAGATCCTGTTGCGTTTGTTATGAATATTTTACCTACAGTGGTCGAATTTAGATGCAGGAGCACTACCACCTCTGATAACCAACTGGCACACACATTTCTTTCCTGTTTCTTCCCTGTTGCCTCTGAACAGAAACCAAGGAGGATAAACTCTCCCTATAAAGTATTATACTGTTACCACGAGATAATTATCAAAAAACCACTGCAGACTACAATGGGAAATATGTTACTGTATGATATAATGTATATAGGAATGTTTTAAAACTTTAATTATTTAAACAATATTATTAAAAGCTATTGTTCTTTAAAATTGTATTTATTTAATATCAGTTACTCAGACTCAGTTCTTATTATATGGATTTTATATGATTTTTTCAGACTGTATTTTTCATTCTGGTAGGATCATGTCTATGAGGAGATACAGCAGACGCCAAACTCAGGAAATAAGATGAACTCGATTTATGCCACTGCCAACTTTCCCACAAACCCCTCTGCCTCGCAGCATTACTCCAGCGTCAACTTCCAAACAGCTCTGACAGAGTTGGTGGTGAGGCAGTGATCCTCAAACCCAGCTCTGCTGCCTACGAATATTCTACTGTGAAGTAAAATCCAGCCTGCTGTACAGTCAGCCAGCCGTCCAGCTCTTCAGAGGATCCTCTCTACACAACAGTCAACATGCCACAGCAGCACTGAGCAAAGATCAGCCCTGTCAATTTATGACATTTACTACATGTATGGTCAAAATTTCAGGTCATTCATTGCTGATGTGGTTGTTTACAATGAATCCAGCTCAGACTTCAGGAACTTCACCAAGATATTCAGATGTTGGACGCTGTCAACTTAAATCCTATCAATCCAGAGACACACGATTCACTTCATCATCCACATTGTTTGAGTCACCAAGGTGTGAACAGGACTTTTGCACCGATCTGTAATTACTAGAGGAGTCTTTCTTGTCTTGCTTCTGAAGCTCAGCTTTATATTACAGCTGATTATTATCTCATTACCTGATTTAACTTATCACAGATACTGTATATTGTTGACCTGGTCTGAATCAGAGTCCTAGAAATAAAAGAAAATCCTTTCCCTACAATTCAGTGATATTTTTATGTGAAAACTTGCACATTGAGAACATATTTTGAGAAAATATTTTTGACGACTACATTGACCATTTGAATTCACATTTAATTTCCAGATAAAGTGGCTATTCCTCTTTTTGTTTTGGTCAGTTATTTACTCATTTAGTGACGTTAAACACACCAACTAGACAACTGCACTGGGATCAAATCATTATTTTACATTACCTTGACAGCTGAGTTGGTGATGGTGCAGTGGATAAGATACATGCCTTGAGACCTGGGTTCAATCTCCCCCTGTGACCCCTCCACTGATGTGTCCCTGCGCAAGACACTTAACCCCTAATTCCTCCAGAGGCGTGCAACCACTGACATAAAAAGCTTTGGATAAAAGCGACTTAATTTAAAGAGACTGTTTTAAAACTGGTAGTTTGAGTTATTATATTATATATTTCATAGTTTTATGTACAAGAAAACAATCATTAAAATGTTGCTTATTATTTACAACACTAGTGTAACAGCCTCCTCATTTAATCTTATTAATTTCACTGTATGCAGGATTTTATTTTATTTTTTTACTTTAGTGTCATCTAGTGGTAAAATTAAGACTGACATTGTGTCCCAGTTTGCTCCTCAGTCTCTGATTCGCCCTCTGTATTGGTGTTGCTCTTTGTCCCTTTCTCTAACTCCCTAGCGCTGCCATCCTCAAGCTCACTGTGTGAAAGTGAATTTAATAATGTCAGTTATAATGTAATAATGTCAATATATTTAGAAATACAGTGGTGAAATTACAATGTTCTGAAGTTGAGCATGTCAATCATGTTGATTGTTTATTGTTGTGAACTTTCTCACTTTAAATGTTGCTGCTGCTAGAAATTGTGAGATGGAATGATCTCCTTGAGTTTTGTGAAGCACTGGTTCTCAAACTTTTTCATGTCAAGGACCCCCAAAACTGACTCACATTAGACGACGGACCCCCATTTGAGATCCCACCGTGACACACTGTGGGAGACAACACTACATGCCTTTTACCAAGACTACAGATATCATCAAAATAACTTGAAAGATGCAACAATCACATAGAATTTTACAAATAGCAAATTAACTTTAATGTGCTGAATATCTAGATACATTCATTTTCAATTTAAATCACCAAATAAGCACAGTTTCCTGTGGTTTACTGATGTCTGCAATGATGTGTGGTAGAAAAATATGAGGGGTGGAGCTTTTTGTAAGTGACCTAAAATAGAATGACACTAAAGCCTGAGATCATAACCTGACTGAGGATGTTCAGTCTGACCGTGATGCTTTTCTGATTCAGTTTTGTTGAATGACTAATTATTATTGAACAAGGAGTGACTATAACAGTGTTAAAACAATGCAGGGGGGCTGTGATGGTGGGGGTGTGCTGTTTAAAATGACGGTGAGACATCAACGATCCAGCCCAGTTTGACAGTCCATCAGGTTAAAGGATCACAGGATCTGACAAAGATCTGGAAAATGATCACAGCATCAATAGTTTAATCTTTGGTTGCACTAATTGTGAGATAAACAGCAGAAATACAGCGATCCAGTTACAAAGGAACGTCTGCTTGCTTGTGTTTCATTTGCCACTCAGCTTCTTACCCGAAGACTTCCTTTTGCAGTCTGGCAAAAGTTGTTCCAGGTTTATCTTTTTGCCAGAGTACTCAGAAGGTGTTTTTTTTTCTGCCAACAAAACACTCAATAAACAAGGCAAGGCAGATACTGCCACACGTTTTAATCTAATTCAGCCAATTAAACCTGATTAAACATGATAACCTGTTTATAAATATAATAATATAATTTTATCAGCCATCAGCAGCAGTTTCATGTGGTTTTGTTCTATGGGTGGAGACTTAAGTGAGCCTGTGGTTTGCAACCTGTTGGTTTTAAATAGCTTTTCTGGTTAAGGGTGAGAATGTCTCATAGCCAGAGGGAGATAAAAAATAATAATAGTAAGAGACGTGTCAACATAGACCTCATCCACAGCCATCACTACTGTTGTTCCCACATTTCCGTGTGAAGCTTTACAGCTTATTATTACAGCTTCTGTTTAAAAAGAGCTGTATCTCCTACCATTTAAATGCTGAACACTATCTGACAATGAAAAACTAAAAGGCCATTGTACACTATCTGCTCAGCAGCAAACAGGAGACAGACACAGTTAGAGACTAACTGGTGAACACAGTCGAGCATTTAGCAGCTAAAGAGTCAAATCTTCTCTCAGGAGAGGTTCTAGCCCCAAAACAAAGCTAACAGAGAGAATACTGGACAGATGAATGACCACTCTGCTTTGCGAACAAGTTCATCTTGAAGGTGATAATATGTTAATGATGTTCATAGGTTGCTTCCACTGCCCTCCAACAGGGTCACACACAGGTCCAAAATACAAACGCACAAACAGGACCTCTACATGTCAGAGTGAGGGGGCTGCCACGCAGTCAGGCTCCCTGAGCAGTTAGGGGTTCAGGCTTTGCTCAGGTGAACCTTCAGCAGTGACCAGGAGGTGAAGTGGCACCTCTCCAGCTGCCAGTCTGAATCCTTTTGACTGATCCGTGCTGGACGTGAACCGGAACCACCATCCGGTTCCCAAGATAAGACCCCACAGACTGAGCTACTGCTGCCCAAAGGTTTAACATCCACAGGTTTTAGGAGAAAAAATTCTAATAAAATGTCTTTAGTTTGTTCCCTCAGTCACCTGTGCAGATACACAATTTATGATCTATGAAGTACGTAATTTACTTGATTAAAACCAGATCATGAATAATGATGAGGATGTACGCATTCACAGTTTGTAGTTTGCATAAGTTATAACTGTTGCACTGTGTCAGGGGACAGTACAAGTTTTCTCTCTCTCTCATTACAGTCATTTCCTATTTACTGTGTAATGAAGTGATGTATAAGGTGGGAGGAGATGTGGCTAAAACTTAAAGAAGAAAGATGAAAGGGGCAGGATAGAAAATTGAGGAGTAGTTTTTAGGTATCATAAGATGTAAGTTCAGGAAATAGAGCTGTGCAGATACAGGAGACCAACCAACAAGGAGGATCTCAGCATCCAACAAAATGAAGATCTTTCTTCTTCTCTTCCTCTCACAGACGACAGGTAAAACGTTTGCTGCTATTGGACTACTGATCTTAGAGATTACACTTGTTACAGCTCTGCTTCTGAAATAATTAACAGGTTGGTCTGGTTTGGGTTATTCTCATTTTGTATTAGTTTAATATAATACAGCCCTCAATACAGTGCTCTGAAATCTGTCTCAGCCTCAAAATCCAGTTCTGGTCGAGCTATAAGAGAATTAATCTAAATCAGAAAGGATATTTATCGTTTTGTGAACAAATGTTACAGCAGGATTGTAAACAACAGTACAGTCATGGTAAGAGAATAAACAATAACAAGGTGTCTTTGAGGCGGTGTGGCTAAAAGACAAATTCATGTCTGCAAAATGTTCACTGACAACATTTCATGTGGGGTTTTTTTAAATAGCCAGCTCCCTTGTGATGTTATCTCGTAGCATCTAAAACACAAGATCAGTATATAAACAATTTCACTAGCAAGGACCATGCCACAACAATATGTCATTTAAAGGTTTAATGAATCTGAATGAACAGAGGAAATTGTTCTTTAGCTCAAATTAGTTAGTCTTCAGAGAAAAAAACTAAATAAAAAACATAAACAAAATCAGCTTTTCAGACAGGATATTTTAGGCTGTTCACATGTTGCTTTAGATTTAGGTTTAGACTCCACTTTCAGCAATGCACTTACGTGTTTGTATAGCCCCTCCTGTGGGCGCTCAAAAGTGGATTGTAAACAGATGATGAATGACAGAATATTAACACAGTTGCAATTATATAAAATCTTTCTTTAAATAAGAAAAAATATAATTGCTGACAGATACTATTAAAATGTCCTCATAGCAGCTTACGACTACATTAAGTGTGTTCTAAACCATGTATTCAATATTTGTATACTGCTTATAATTGGTAGAAGGAGCTCAAATTAAAGTGCTTAATTAATTATTAATTAAAATGTGCTTCACAATTATCTAACAGGTGGGTAACTTTAATAACTTGTAATAATATAACATTATGTGTGTAAAAGCAAAGGTCAAAATCATTTAATTAAAAGAAACGTGCAACTGAGCATTGAATGTCTGTGATCCACTGATTCAAAGAGCTGTCTGCTGAGAGATCCTGCAAATGTATACAAGAAACAGTGTTTGTTTCATTAACAGAAAGCTAATTCAGATGAATATCTGTCACATCGTTTCAGTGTCTAACATGATGTGAACTTTTGTCTTTGATCTACAGGTTGTGAGGCCTTGTCTGAAGTGAAGGGATGTGCATCAGGATGGGTTGAATTCACCTGCAAATATCCAAAACCAAATGTAAAATATCAAAGTATTTATGTAGTTTCTCCCAAAGAAATCATACGAAGCTCTGAGAAGGATGTGTGGGAAAACAAAGGCAGAGTTTCCCTGTACCATGATCCAAAAAATACAAATCTCAGAGTGGCCATTAAACAACTTGAACGTGAGGACTTCGGGGACTATCAGTGTAAATTTCACCAACGATCGGACTCATCCCAGGACACAGAGGAAGTGAAATTGGACGTTGGTAAGAGACACTTTTCATTCAAATACATTCTTTGGATCCAGCGCTTAAATATATATACATATTAAAATGATAAGAACTTAATGCAAAGTATTTTGACTCCAATTTCACATTCAGTAGAGTCACTTTCTATTTTAAGTCATCATCTGCTTAGATAACCAAAATCAAAATCAATTTGCCATAAAGATCATATTCCAATACATACTGTATGAGTGTAGTGATGTGCATTTCCATCATGTGTTAGCACAGTATCTCAGTTTCACATTTGATATTTCTTGTTTATTTGCAGAGACAGACGGCTGCCAGGGACAATTTATTCAAACTGCGTACAGAACAGCTAAAACCACCATCACATGTGATCACACAGGAAACAAATACAAGTTCTTCTGCAAACAGAACGGTTCAATCTGTGAGGATATTTTATCAACAAAATCCTCTCTGAAGTCAAACGGGACATTCACTCTCACAGAAACCAACAGTAGCTTCAGCATGTCCATCAGTAACGTGTCCTCACATGATGCTGGTGTCTACCGGTGTGGAGTGGAAACACATGAAGGAAGTTACAGAGCTTCTCTCAGAAAGATACAGCTGAAGGTTGAAGGTGAGCAGCACACATCTGACACTTTGAGCTTTGATCTACTCATACAGAAAATTAAGTGTCTGTCTGTCTCTCTACAGCTAAAATTACTAACTTCACTGAGTTTCCAAATATTGGACAGAATCTCACATTCGGGTGTCGATATCGAAATGATGCTCCGATTAAGAAGTTCATCTGTAAGGGAGAAGATCCATCTATATGTCAACCTGTAGTCAGCAATTGCATGCATAGTGAATAAATAAAGCCATCATCATGGATCAGCAATACTATGATTCACCATGGCAAAAGAAGCAGTGACAGAATCTGAGTTGGCGTGAATAAAGAGTCCCTAAGTTACAGTTGAAGTTTTATAATGAACCACAGTTAGTTAGTTTGTTAGTTTCCCTTGGTAAAGAGCAAAACATTTGGCAGCATCAGACCTTTTTCACAGAAGACATTTTTACATCACAGTAGGAAAAATACAGGTGTAAATAATAAAATGAATGAGGGCTGAATTCCATTTAGCTGCTGCAGTTTCAGGGTCCTGATATTGTTCATGCTGACTCACTGTCATGACTTAACAGAGCCATTGTTAATGTTATTATTAACACCTGTGCTGTTCCTGCCATCAAACAGATAAGACCATTTTTGATTTTATTGCCTTTATTGTCATTGCATGCGATATACAATTTCAGTCACTGTCAACTGAAACAGTAAAAAAAACTTTTTGGTTTCAGTTAAAAAGACACAACTGAGTTAATATTTTTTCTTTCTAATCTATTTTCTATTTTTACTTAGCAATCCTGGCAAGAGCATCCTATTACTCAATTATGGCAAAAAATCATAATCACTTATTGACTAATAATATTGAGATTGCGATTAATTAACACGATTAGTCAATGATTTGGGGAGTTTGCATGCTCTCCCCGTGTCCCCGTGGGTTCTGTCCGGTGCTCCGGCTTCCTCCCACCATCCAAAGAAATGCAGGCTGGGTTAATTGGTGTCTCCGAAATTGTCCTTAGGTGTGGATGTGATTGGTGGTCTGTCTATGTGTGGCCCTGAGATGGACTGGTGACCTGTCCAGGGTGTACCCCGCGTTTCGCCCGATGTAAGCTGGGATTGGCTCCAGCTGTTTGCAGGAGAAGCGGTTGACGATGGATGGATGACCTTTTTGAAAAGAAAGGATCTTCTTGAACTTTGAATTTTCTCTAACTCATTCAGTATAAAACGTGCTTTGTGACCAGATCTGTCTGATCTGGGCATGTTACCACACAGTTGTTTACTGTCAAATGCTTAAGGCTCTTTTCTAACTTATTTGCACCAGTCTTTGGGACTGCCACAGTGTGTAACAACCGTCAAACAGCTGAATTGGTTTTTCCTTACTTGTTCTTGATCAAAAGCGCTCCACCCTTCATCTTGGCCCGAGCTGAACATATAGGTCACATAACACACTGGATTATAAAGTCAAAGCTAGAGCATCATTGCGAAAAAGAATGTCTCACAAAAATTATTTTACCTAGATTATTTTGTTTTCATAACTTGTGGAAGCCAAAATCATAATTGAAAATTGCAGAAGAAATCAGAACCTTTATAGTGTATGTGAAGAAGCAATTAAGCTGAAACTCATTAAAGCCTTATAATTTGCTTTGTTAAAAAACATTTGACTTTTTTTTCAAATGGCTGTGAAATCCTGATGCTGCTTAATACTTGTTTTAAGTTCCTGCACTTCTTCAGAGCTGCGTTCTGCAGTGATGTGACAGCAGAACTTCATCAGCTACAACTAAAACCCAAGTGATCAATTCATAAACATATTTAGTGTTGAGTGTTTCACTATGCATGTTTTTAAGGATAATTAACATTCTGACCTCTAAGGGTTATTCAGTCTGTTCTCTTCACAAATTTAATTGTTTTCTTTTTCAGTATCACCAGCAGTATCACCAGCAGTATCCACATCTCTGTTTTTTTCAACCCAGTCAACTACTGCATCTGCAGAGAGTCCTGGTAAGAGAGCACGTTTGACTTCTTAAATCTTCTGCTAGAGAAGAGCGGGGGGGGTTAAAATGAAATTTCTATAAACGTCCACTTACATTTTCTCAACACAGACAGCTGTGGATGATAATGACCCATGTTAAAAAAAATAATTGTGGTTTATTTTGCAGGTGGCCCTCACGTCGTCATCACTGTGATCGTCTGTGTAGCTGTGCTGCTGCTGCTGTTTGTGCTGATTTTGATCCTAATCTACGCATGTAAGAGTTATTACCAGTTTGCAGAAGAAACACTCACATTTTGTAAACAGAAAACCACATTAACAACAGCTCCACCCTGTGTGGAGGTGAGGACTAACAAGGCCAAAGAAGACACTCTATATCGTTTGTAGTGACTAACATGACTTCTTTTTCATGTCTTGAAGTTAATGGACACATGTTTTTATACAAAGAAAGGAAAAACTTCACTTATTTGCCAGACTTACAAGAGGAAACAAATAATTATAAATTTGTTGTAAAACAGAATTTCACAAAGTATAAACTTTACATTTTCCCCAACTCACCAGCATGAGTCTGGTGCGAATTAGCCTCCACCTGAAATTACTCATGCGCAGTTTAGGAGAGATCCAATCTCAATGAGGATAACAAGAAAACAAGAAAACAATACCAGGTGTAAACACAAAGGCAAGATCCGATGGTTAAAGTAACATTATATAAAATTTGTTTTTTGCGAGATTTGGTGTCAGTACTGTTGTGGAATTTACATCACAGTAGGAATAACATAAGGAGAATAGGAGAGGAAAGGTTAAGGATAAACACATATATATCTATAAGACATAGCAATAATATTAATAATAATAATAAAAAAACAGTCGCATGGACCCGAGGACCATGAATCTGAGATAAATGGATAGAGGTCCTCAGGAATATGTTTTAAGTTGCTACCAGCCATGTTTCAGTGCGTTATGGGAATAATAATGTCGCTTTAAGGCTTAAAGTTAAAGGCTTAAAGAGGTAGTGTCTCAATTTGATAAAAATTGGTGAAATTAATCCATTTATGTCCTTCTACTTTTTTACTCAGCTATTGTTATCTTACTTTTGCTTCTTCCAGGATTTTCACCTTTAAAGAACACAAGAAATGGAGCAGCAGCACAGCACAAAAAGGTCAGTATATAAATACAACTGTCCTCTACAGAAAAAAAATAACCGTGTTTAAGCCACACAAAATTATGACTCATGTTTACGTTTATTGATGTAAGCGACCTCTAGTGGCAGTACAATGCAAACGCATTAAGGATCGATTAAGGATTTTTTTTTTGGGCCGACCGATGACTGATATGTGGAACCGTTATACATTTGCTGTAAAATCTTTAATCTTGGTGTCAAAATTTTGAATAACACAAACTCCAACACAAAACTTTGTTGAAAATAACAAGATTAAAGTTAATTGTCATGTTTAATCTTTAAAATAGTAAATTAAATGAATTAGAGATCCATCCCAGAGATGGACTACTATAATTGAAAAATTATCATGAACTTTTCCTTTACCACCTGCTATTTATATTATAATATGTGTGTGATGTGCTGCAAGTAGGCAAGTTAATTTTACTAAATGTAAAAATGTCACCACAAAGTGTAGGATAGGCTCTGCATGAAGACATTTATTAATTTAGCTGATGCTTTTATCCAAAGCAGCTTGCAATTGCTCTATACGTCAGAGGTCGCACGCCTCTGGAGACACTAGGGGTTAAGAGTCTTGCTCAGGGACACATTGGTGTTTCACAGTGGATTTGAACCGAGGTCTCTCACATGAAAGGCATGCATCTTATCCACTTCCCCATCACCACCCCAAGGTTAAAGAGCCCCCCCCCCAGCACTGTGATAGAACGGCTGGGTAAGACCATTGACCAGCGCTGTGTTGAGCTCCAAGCTGAACATTTTTTCACTTTCTGTGACCGGAAAAAACACTCAGCGCCCAGCGCTTGCCTCTCAACAAGCGGCTGAGTTTGCAAGGAGCTAGTAAATTTTAAGATAGTTGACAATGATAGCAAAAAGGCAGATAGGGTAACAGTTACCAAATAATGGACAGGGTTGTCACATTGAAAATGCTTGCTCACACTCACCCTCCTGCCCACCCACATTCATCAACATAAATCCCAATTGTTGTATGTAAACACAGTGTTTCCCACAGAATGACATCCTAACTGAGGTGTGTGTGTGTGTGTGAGAGAGAGAGAGAGAGAGAGAGAGAGAGAGAGAGTGACCGTGCAGAAGGGGTGCTGAGCGAATAGCCTAGTATATGCTCTGCCCGCAGCTCTGTGATCTAAATCGATTTTACCCATAGCCTAATAAAAAACAACAATAATCGAAATACTTCCAGGTCACTTGACTCAGTTAGGAACCTTCCTAAGCAAAAAAGACGCAGTTTGGACGCAGCGCTGGTCTTAAAGGCGTTGACAGAACCCCGTAGATCCCAAACCTCATCCTAACCTTCACAGTCAGTGATTGTATGTATGTTGCCTCCTTTGTCACTCCACGTGTTTATGTCATGTGACTTCGATCACGTGATTTCCAAAACTCTCATTTGAGTCTTATTTGGATATTGGTAAAAACAACCTATGTTGTCGTTTAGGTTTGAGGACTTGTTGGTATATATGAATGTTTGTGTGTGTTGTGGTACTGTATAGGTTGAATAGATATTGCTGGAATAATTGTGCAATAGCTGGATTACTCAAGTATGAGTGTTAAAAGAATAAGAAAGAACTTCTGGGACTCTCACTTCATAGAAAAAACAATATAAATTAATATTGACCAACAAGGATGCAGCGTTTTCACTGTTTCAGTGACAGAATCTCCCTTTTTGCTACGTGTGGAGATCCTGTTGTGTTTGTTATGAATATTTTACCTACAGTGGTCAATTTAGATGCAGGAGCACTACCACCTCTGATAACCAACTGGCACACACATTTCTTCCCTGTTTCTTCCCTGTTGCCTCTGAACAGAAACCAAGGAGGATAACTTGTAAACAAACTCTCCCTATAAAGTATTATACTGTTACCACGATAATTATCAAAAAACCACTGCAGACTACAATGGGAAATATGTTACTGTATGATATAATGTATATGGGAATGTTTTAAAACTTTAATTATTTAAACAATATTATTAAAAGCTATTGTTCTTTAAAATTGTATTTATTTAATATCAGTTACTCAGACTCAGACTTATTATATGGATTTTATATGATTTTTTCAGACTGTATTTTTCATTCTGGTAGGATCATGTCTATGAGGAGATACAGCAGACGCCAAACTCAGGAAATAAGATGAACTCGATATATGCCACTGCCAACTTTCCCACAAACCCCTCTGCCTCGCAGCATTACTCCAGCATCAACTTCCAAACAGCTCTGACAGAGTTGGTGGTGAGGCAGTGATCCTCAAACCCAGCTCTGCTGCCTACGAATATTCTAGTGTGAAGTAAAATCCAGCCTACTGTACTGTCAGCCAGCCGTCCAGCTCTTCAGAGGATCCTCTCTACACAACAGTTTCAGGTCATTCATTGCTGATGTGGTTGTTTACAATGAATCCAGCTCAGACTTCAGGAACTTCACCAAGATATTCAGATGTTGGACGCTGTCAACTTAAATCCCATCAATCCAGAGACACACGATTCACTTCATCATCCACATTGTTTGAGTCACCAAGGTGTGAACAGGACTTTTGCACCGATCTGTAATTACTAGAGGAGTCTTTCTTGTCTTGCTTCTGAAGCTCAGCTTTATATTACAGCTGATTATTATCTCATTACCTGATTTAACTTATCACAGATACTGTATATTGTTGACCTGGTCTGAATGAGAGTCCCAGAAATAAAAGAAAATCCTTTCCCTGCAATACTATGATATTTACATATGAAATTTACATATGAGAGACCTGGGTTCAATCCCCCTCTGTGACCCATCTGCCATTGTGTCCCTGAGCAAGACACCTAGTTGCTCCAGAGGCGTGCAACCTCTGACATAAAAAGCTTTGGATAAAAGCGATTTAATTTAAAGAGACTGTTTTAAAACTGGTAGTTTGAGTTATTATATTATATATTTCATAGTTTTATGTACAAGAAAACAATCATTAAAATGTTGCTTATTATTTACAACACCAGTGTAACAGCCTCCTCATTTAATCTTATTAATTTCACTGTATGCAGGATTTTATTTTATTTTTTTACTTTAGTGTCATCTAGTGGTAAAATTAAGACTGACATTGTGTCCCAGTTTGCTCCTCAGTCTCTGATTCGCCCTCTGTATTGGTGTTGCTCTTTGTCCCTTTCTCTAACTCCCTAGCGCTGCCATCCTCAAGCTCACTGTGTGAAAGTGAATTTAATAATGTCAGTTATAATGTAATAATGTCAATATGTTTAGAAATACAGTGGTGAAATTACATGTTCTGAAGTTGAGCATGTCAGTCATGTTGATTGTTTATTGTTGTGAACTTTCTCACTTGAAATGTTGCTGCTGCTAGAAATTGTGAGATGGAATGATCTCCTTGAGTTTTGTGAAGCACTGGTTCTCAAACTTTTTCATGTCAAGGACCCCCAAAACTGACTCACATTAGACGACGGACCCCCATTTGAGATCCCACCGTGACACACTGTGGGAGACAACACTACATGCCTTTTACCAAGACTACAGATATCATCAAAATAACTTGAAAGATGCAACAATCACATAGAATTTTACAAATAGCAAATTAACTTTAATGTGCTGAATATCTAGATACATTCATTTTCAATTTAAATCACCAAATAAGCACAGTTTCCTGTGGTTTACTGATGTCTGCAATGATGTGTGGTAGAAAAGTATGAGGGGTGGAGCTTTTTGTAAGTGACCTAAAATAGAATGACACTAAAGCCTGAGATCATAACCTGACTGAGGATGTTCAGTCTGACCGTGATGCTTTTCTAATTCAGTTTTGTTGAATGACTAATTATTATTGAACAAGGAGTGACTATAACAGTGTTAAAACAATGCAGGGGGGCTGTGATGGTGGGGGTGTGCTGTTTAAAATGACGGTGAGACATCAACGATCCAGCCCAGTTTGACAGTCCATCAGGTTAAAGGATCACAGGATCTGACAAAAGATCTGGAAAACACAGCATCAATAGTTTAATCTTTGGTTGCACTGACTGTGAGATAAACAGCAGAAATACAGCGATCCAGTTACAAAGGAACGTCTGCTTGCTTGTGTTTCATTTGCCAACTCAGCTTCTTACCCGAAGACTTCCTTTTGCAGTCTGGCCAAAGTTGTTCCAGGTTAATCTTTTTGCCAGAGTACTCTGAAGGTGTTTTTTTTTTTTCTGCCAACAAAACACTCAATAAAACAAGGCAAGGCAGATACTGCCACACGTTTTAATCTAATTCAGCCTATTAAACCTGATTAAACATGATAACCTGTTTTTATCAGCCATCAGCAGCAGTTTCATGTGGTTTTGTTCTATCGGTAGACTTAAGTGAGCCTGTGGTTTGCAACCTGTTGGTTTTAAATAGCTTTTCTGGTTAAGGGTGAGAATGTCTCATAGCCAGAGGGAGATAAAAAACAATAATAATAGTAAGAGACGTGTCAACATAGACCTCATCCACAGCCATCACTACTGTTGTTCCACATTTCCGTGTGAAGCTTTACAGCTTATTATTACAGCTTCTGTTTAAAAAGAGCTGTATCTCCTACCATTTAAATGCTGAACACTATCTGACAATGAAAAACTAAAAGGCCATTGTACACTATCTGCTCAGCAGCAAACAGGAGACAGACACAGTTAGAGACTAACTGGTGAACACAGTCGAGCATTTAGCAGCTAAAGAGTCAAATCTTCTCTCAGGAGAGGTTCTAGCCCCAAAACAAAGCTAACAGAGAGAATACTGGACAGATGAATGACCACTCTGCTTTGCGAACAAGTTCATCTTGAAGGTGATAATATGTTAATGATGTTCATAGGTTGCTTCCACTGCCCTCCAACAGGGTCACACACAGGTCCAAAATACAAACGCACAAACAGGACCTCTACATGTCAGAGTGAGGGGGCTGCCACGCAGTCAGGCTCCCTGAGCAGTTAGGGGTTCAGGCTTTGCTCAGGTGAACCTTCAGCAGTGACCAGGAGGTGAAGTGGCACCTCTCCAGCTGCCAGTCTGAACTCCTTTTGACTGATCCGTGCTGGACGTGAACCGGAACCACCATCCGGTTCCCAAGATAAGACCCCACAGACTGAGCTACTGCTGCCCAAAGGTTTAACATCCACAGGTTTTAGGAGAAAAAAATTCTAATAAAATGTCTTTAGTTTGTTCCCTCAGTCACCTGTGCAGATACACAATTTATGATCTATGAAGTACGTAATTTACTTGATTAAAACCAGATCATGAATAATGATGAGGATGTACGCATTCACAGTTTGTAGTTTGCATAAGTTATAACTGTTGCACTGTGTCAGGGGACAGTACAAGTTTTCTCTCTCTCTCATTACAGTCATTTCCTATTTACTGTGTAATGAAGTGATGTATAAGGTGGGAGGAGATGTGGCTAAAACTTAAAGAAGAAAGATGAAAGGGGCAGGATAGAAAATTGAGGAGTAGTTTTTAGGTATCATAAGATGTAAGTTCAGGAAATAGAGCTGTGCAGATACAGGAGACCAACCAACAAGGAGGATCTCAGCATCCAACAAAATGAAGATCTTTCTTCTTCTCTTCCTCTCACTGATGACAGGTAAAACGTTTGCTGCTATTGGACTACTGATCTTAGAGATTACACTTGTTACAGCCCTGCTCGTAGAGCACTGACTTCACAGTTAACACGTCTCACACAGTAAAACTTGGTCACAAAAAAACAAATTTTTTTAAAAAATATTTTACATGATGAAAAATAATCGACATCCAGTTTTTGTAAACACTGAAATTGGTCTCAGCCTCAAAATCCAGTTCTGTTCAGGCTATAAGAGAAATATTTTAAGTCTGAAAGGATATTTATAGTTTTATGTACAAATGTTAGAGCAGGATTGTGAGGAACAGTACAGTAATGGTAAGAAAAAGCTTTTCAGACATGATATTTTAGGGGGTTCAGGAGTTGATGACTGTAGACGCCACTTTCAGCAATAATATTATCAATGTGTTTGTATAGCCCCTCCTGTGGGTGCCCATCAGTGGAGGCTGGTAAATAAACAAATGAATGACAGTTTATTTTTACATTTAAATATCTTCAAAAAGTAATAATTGCTGACATTAAAATTGCTAAATTAAAATCTCAGGGTGGCCATTAAACTAACAGAACATGAGGACTTTGTCAAATTTACAGGTGTACTTCCCAATCGACCTTTACAACCCAATGCACATCTAATGAATTAAATGAAATTTCAGAAACGTATTCTCTCTTTGCTTTTTATGTATCGAGGCGTAACTGATTTAATTCAGCTTTCATACTGTACATGTAAAGTGTGGTGCCACTACTCTAAATTATTTTGCTTCCACATCCAGTAGAGAAATCAATTTGCCATGAAGATCAGATTCCAAAAAAAGCAGATGTAACACTCTCCCCACTCATCACCAATGTAAGCAACTCCTCATTGTCCATTGGACTCGACCCCGACACCCTGAACAACTGCAGGCCCATCTCCATCATTCTTTCTCTGTCCACAATCCATGAGCGAGTTGTCGATACTCACTCAAACTGCCCTACTTAAAATCACCCAATGACATACTTCACTCTGACTCTGGGTTCCTCACCATCCCCTATCTCCATGCTATCTTTCAAACAGACCCTCAAAACCCACCTATTCAAGACTGCATCCTCCAGTTCTGTCCTTCCCCTCTCTCCCTCCTTTTCTTTTTTAACCAGTTACTTTTATTTTTAGCCCTGTAAAGCGTATTTGAGTGTTTAGAATATTATCAATATCATTCACACCTTATGAGTGTGGTGACCACGTGTTAGCACAGCATTACTGTATTTTAATTCCGGTTTTACCTTTCTGAGACAGACGGCTGTCAGAATCAATTTATACAAACTGCGTACAGAACAGCTAAAACCACCATCACATGAGATCACACAGGAAACAAACACAAGTTATTCTGCAAACAGAACGGTTCAATCTGTGAGCTGAAGGTTAACTGTGAGCAGCACACATCTGACTCTTTTAGCTTTGATTTACTCACACAGATAATTAAAGTGTCTCTGAAATATGTTGTTAAATACAGTCACTGATACACAACGATGTCTTTCTGTCTGTCTCTCTACAGCTACTATTACTAACTTCACCACGTTTCCAACTGTTGGACAGAATCTTACATACTGGTGTGAATATCCAAAAGATTCTTTTATAAACAAATTCATCTGTAAGGGAGAAGATCCATCTATATGTAAACCTCCATTAAGCACACAGCGCAACAAGACCATT